GACTGAAGCTGTACCTCATCCAGTGATGGTAGATCACACAGATATGTCTCCAGAGTCTCTATCCTCTGCTGCTTCTCTTGGTTCTCCTCAGTATCTCTCTGACACTTCTTCTTCAGACTGCTGATGTACCGATCCCTGGTCTTTATCTGAGGAAACAAACCATGAGCTCAGATCCCTGGTCTTTATCTGAGGAAACAAACCATGATGAGCTCAGATCTCTGGTCTTTATCTGAGGAAACTAAGATGTTCTCAGTTGATATAATCCTACTTGTTCCTGTACCTTTTCCTCCAGTTTCTTCATGTCCTCTGTGTARCTCTGGGTGATCTGTTTGAAGAACTTGTTCAGATAAAGAACTTCCTGCTCAGCCACGGCTAACTTCCTCCCCAGTTCTTCATCACAGCTCGGTCTTCCTGCTGGCTCCTGGAGAACCCAGAACCCTGCTGTCAGCACCTGGACTGGAATCTTCCTTCACATGTTTAAATCTCACCTGAACGTTGAGGATTAGAGGCTGGTCAAACAGGCCTCTGTGGTTCTGCAGAACCTGCTGAGTTTTGAGCTCATTCTCTCTGATCCGAGCGTGGAGCTGCAGCATCTGCASCTTCTGTCTACAACACAGAATCACATTTCTGCTTCTTATCTGACAGCAGGTAGACCAGTTCACCACTAAAACCAGATTAATCTAAGAACAATATTTACTTAGAGTTTGTATGAAAACAAAGATTATAATATAAACCAGAAGAAATACAAAGAAAACCTGTTGATCTCCTGTTCTCTCTGCCTCAGCAGACCTTCTTTCACCTTCAGCAGAACATCAGGAGGAAGAGCAGACCCCATCATCTTCATCATGGCTGCTGTTGTCTCCTAACACACCAACACATATTGTAAAGTCATTCTCTCATCTGAAACAGTGTTGCTTTGACTCGTTCATGCATGTTGGAGAAATCCTTCAATCTCCTGTAACCATGTGGAGCTGACTAAACGCCTGCTGCTACAAAGCTCCGCCTATTTACACAAAGCTCCTCCCTGGAGCTCAGTCTGCAGCTGAGCTCCCGCCCCATAGAGCACCCCTCGCCCAAAGCATTGGCTGTGTCTAAAACGGCAGGCCGGGTCCTCCGAGTTTTTACATCCTGTGAAGTAAAAAAATATTTTTTTACGTAAATTACGTCATATTTTACATATCGTTAAAAAAAAGTTTTTACATCCTGTGAAGTTTTTTTTTTACAAAAAACATTTGTTTTACAAAAAAATATTTTTTTTTTACAAAAATATTTTTTTTTACAAATTTTTTTTTTACGTAAGTTACGTCATATGTTACGTCCTGAGACCTAAAAACCCCATTTTTTTCCAATTTTTTTTACGTCCTGTGATTGATGTAAAAGAAAAATTTTTTTTTACATAAATTACGCAACCTGCTGTTTTGGACACAGCTAACGTTGTTAAGATGTGCTGAAATGGGAGTGTCAGAAACGGTAGGAGGTTGTTTATCAAACATTCAGTTCATCCAGTTTTCTTCCCTACATTTTTCAGAATGTAACTGCTTTCATAATTTTTCTGTTATTTCAAGATTTCATAAATTAAAACGTTCGGCTCATATAAGCTATTGGCTTCTTTTTTGTTGCTAACTTTAGCTTTGTTCTGCCATTACATCTTCAGCTCATTTCTGCTGTTCTTCTGCTAATTCAAACCTTTTGTGTTCCTTTCTGCTTTTTAGGACAGTTTATGTTTGCATTTTAGACTACTTTTTAGCTGATTTCAGCTAATTTTGGCTGTTTGCTACTAACTTTATCTTTTTGCAGGAATTTCAGCTTCTTACTGCTTAATGTGGCAAACATGCTTTTCTGCTTCTTTGTGCTAATTTAAGCCTTTATTAGCCTTTTGGTGCTAATTTTTACCTTTATTAGCCTTTTTGGTGCTAATTTTAGCCTTTATTAGCTTTTTTGGTGCTAATTTTAGCCTTTTCTGCTATTTTAACATGTTTGCTCATTTCTGCTTTTCTTGTGCTAATTGAAATTTTTGCTTCTTTACACTAAGTTAAGCTGTTTTCTACATTTTAGGCTACTTTTTAGCTGATTTAAGCTTTTTTCTACTAACTTCGCATTTTTTCAACAATTTCTGCTTCTTACTGCTTGATTAAGCAAACTTAATCTCTTTCTGCTTCTTTGTGCTAATCTCAGGTTTTTCAGCTACTTTTTAAAAGTTATTTTCAGCTTGTTTCAGCTTTTAAAGCTATTTTATCACAAATTCCTTTTTGTACTTCTTTTCTTGTTTTTCAGCTAATATTAGGATTTTTCTGTCCTTTTACCATCTGTCTGCTAAATCCAACTTGTTTCTGCTATTATAGCTACATTTCTGCTTTTTTGGCCTTTTCAACGCATTTTTTGTTATTAGTTTCTACCAGTGGTGGGCAGCGCTAATCCAAAAATTAGCTCCGCAACTTCAAAACCGCTTACGCTGTAGAAAAACTAGCGGAAGCTAATTTTAAAGCCAAGTTCAATTTGACACTCACTAGCTGATAATTCATGTACAATATGTACAACACTGCCAACTAGCGGTGTATGAATCCTTTTACAGCTAAATCCTACAACGGCTGATTGCTGGGGATGTGATTTCCTGAAACAGATTAGCTCCTGGTGTAAAAATTAAAAAGTTGTTGAGGATTGCTAGTTCGGCTGCTTCTTTGTCTTTTTTCTTTTGTTTGTTGTAGATTTTTCATTAAAGAAGCATCAATAAAGTAATTTTAAAACTGTTTATTGGAAAACTGAAGCGATGCATTCTGGGTAAATGACGGCCTGACGGGAAANCAATAAAGTAATTTTAAAACTGTTTATTGGAAAACTGAAGCGATGCATTCTGGGTAAATGACGGCCTGACGGGAAACGAAAGCACGGGGAACAGGAAACGAATATCTTCCCTTCAAAATAAGAGCTTGGATTTTAAAGTTTTTCATGTTTTCGTTGGATTTTAAAGTTCTCCAGTTCACCTGAAACTCAGACTGAATAAGTCTCTTGGAGGAGAGACGAAACGTTTCACTAAAGAAGAACCATCCAGAGGACCTACTGATTTCAGATTTTTTTCTACCTGGATCAGGACGTTTTCCATGTAGTTGTTCCAGTTGACCACTAGATGTCAGTCTTCACCAATATAACATCTTTCAATCTTTCTGAACCTCTAACACTCTTAGCCGATTGCTTCTGAGCTCCAGCATTTAAACTTTATTAATTTTTAAAAATGGAGCTCAGATTGTAAAGTAAAATAAATCAATACATACAAAATTTTAGTATGGATTACAAACGTTTACTGTTTTTGCTGTTGCCTTCCTGCTACGTAAGCAGACACAAAGCATTGTGGGAAATCAGAACCGTGACCCAAAGCAACAGTCAGCAGGATGTATACCTCTGGGAGGGGTGCTGTTGACAGACTTTTTATTTTTATTCTTTTATTTTAGCTACTTTTAATAAACGTCAGCTGTTAAAACTGACTTTAAATGTTTTCAGTTCTTCGGCTGTTTTCAGCTGGAAGTGTTCGGCTGTGTTCTCACAGTTTCTGCTCTCACCATGTTGGGTTCTGCTCACCTGCTGGAGTCCTGGTTCCTGAGACCAGGATGAGAACCCATCTAGACCACATCCCTCTGTTCTGGAGGTCTCACCGGGTCCAGGCTCCAGGTTGGACCGGTGCTCCATCTGCTCAGTCAGCCACATCTGGGTCCGAACAGCTGCTTGGATCGGGGACTCCCTGTCAAAGTTCAGTCCCAGAGAAGAGTCCAGACCCAGTCCACAGACCTGTCTCCCCATCAGAGAAGGTTCTGGGCTGTGGTTCAGGTCCAAACTACTCTGCTTGGCTGGTGAAGACTGAGCTGAGGACCTGGAGCTGTGGCTGTAGTGAAAACCAGGACTGGATCCTGGTGAGGTCTGCAGAAAACTGCAGGTCCTGGAGGAGGACAACGGTAGATAAAGGTCCCGGTTGGACGTCTGGTTCTTCTTCCTGTAGCGGTTCAGTAGACCTCGGTCCAGGGAGCCTTGAGTCCCAGTGTTGTAAGGACTGATGGGGGTCCAGCTGGACGTCTTCTCACTTCCTGTGGACAGCTTGGTGAAGGACGAGGACCTTCTGATGGGCTGATGGGTCTTCAGGTCCAGCTGGTTCTGTGTCTCCAGAGGACAAGAAGCTGCTGGGTTCAGGGGGCAGAACCTGCTCCAGGTCCCAGAGCTGTGTGGAGACACAGGTGTCCTGAGACAGGTCCCATGTGAGGACAACAGAGACGGTTTGACAAGTCCGACAGGGACGCCACCATCATCATCATCATCTTCATCATGGCCAGTGAGACGCTGCAGAGACCCAGACTGAAGAGGACAGGTTCTGGAGACACCTGATGAAGACAAGACTTGTTCAGTTCTTTATGTCCCTCCTCTGGACATGTCCCAACCAACACTGTCCCTCCTCTGGACATGTCCCAACAAACACTGTCCCTCCTCTGGACATGTCTCAACCAACACTGTCCCTCCTCTGGACATGTCCCAACCAACACTGTCCCTCCTCTGGACATGTCCCAACCAACACTGTCCCTCCTCTGGACATGTCTAAACAAACACTGTCCCTCCTCTGGACATGTCCAAACCA